GTAAATCTTACAGGTGCTAAGATAGAGGATGGAAGTGATATTATATTAACCAAAAAAAAAAAAGCAAAAAAGCTGAGAGGTGGTACAGTCATCCACCCTGGCAATCTTCAAAAAGTCTTGACATCCATCTTGTTGGGGTCATCTGGCCCCAGCAGTCTTTCCTGCCCAAGTGCAGGGGGCTTGACCAGATGATCTCTAAGGTCCCTTTCAGCCTTATGAAACTATGTTAATGCCCCTCCTCTCCCCCCAAAAAACCCTCCAAAAAGCTAAAGTTCAAGATCTTCAAGAAGGATTTAAGCACATAAACCCCAATGTCTTTCAACTCAGACTGGCACTTTGAAGCCCCTTTGATGGAAAACAAAACCAGCTGTCCCTCCCATTTATAAGGCTACACACTCATGCTTGAAAGCAAGGGGAAAACCAACAGAAGCTCACTCAGGCCTGGGGCTAACAGCTCACAGAGGCGAAGAAAGAAAAGAAAGGAGGAAAGAGACCCTGGGAATGGGAAGGCTGGTACCCGCTATCCCAGGGTGGGTCCAAGGGTAACTGGCACCCTAGGCGAACAGTGTACCTCGGTGCCCCCACCACTTCCAACACAGACGAAAATATGAAGTCTACAATGAACTTAAACCTCAGAGATCTTTTCAGAGGTCTTTTCTCCCCTTCCCAAACCACAGGTCTTAGACCAAGGTGGAGCGGTAGCCGGCCAGGGCTGTCCTTCAGAATGATGTTCCTGTTATTTTGTTGTGCGTATAATTTTGGCACCCCCCCCGAATTTTGGCACCCTAGGTGACCACCTCGTTTCCCTAATGGCTGGACCAGCCCTGCACTTCCCTGTTTCAATGGGCTGGTAGATCCTTGCCCACCCCTGGCACTGGGTTACTAGGGGCTCCCACCAGCTGGGCCCTGCTCAGGACCCACGTGCCCGGCAGCGCCGGCGAGCGGGCGAGGAGCGGGCACGGGGAGGGGCACAAGGGGTCGGGCACTCACCCGGGAAGCTCCGCCGGGCCAGCGTCTGCTGGACCTGCCGCTGGATGCGCTGCGCCTTGTCCTCCCCACCCACCCGCCTCAGCCTGGCTTCGGACGGCAGCGCCAGCGTGGAGCTGTCCACCGGCCCCGCGCCCAGCACCGTGCGGATGTAGCCCGGCTCGGGCCCCGCCATCCTCCCTCCCGCGGGACAGGGCGCCGCCGCCGCTTCAGCCCGGGGCTGCACCGACTCGGGCTGCGTCCGGCTCCGTCGCGCAGGTAGCCCCGGCGCAG